ATGTACTAATTATTTGATTTATGAGTATAGGTGAAAAATTCAATTATTTTAAACAGTTATACAGTTTTAGTACTACAGGTCCCCACTGACAGATGGTTTTTTGAAGATTACACAAATGAATGTATTATACTTAGAAATGCGGTCGACATCCAGGAGAGTCTGAATAATTTCACAATCTTGGTGTTTAATTTAACAATGGCTTATAAGTTAGAATTGATTTTTACTATCCCAATTTCATTTATTTTTTTATTAGCATCCTGTTCCTATCATTTACTTAGATCCTTTATTATAGTCTCTTAAATTTTATCATTTTGACAAAAATAAATTTATTTCCCCAAAAATATATCTCAACCTGTTTTCCTTTGAGAGCATGTCACTGCATGTTTCTGGTTTCTACAGTAATACTTTATCACCCAAATGTTAAAGCCACAATGAATTACTACATTTTTATTAATCTTTTAGTTGATGTGATACTAACAAATAAGGACCTTGTTTTAATCTACCAGCAGTACTATTATCATATTCAGCAAATTAATAATAGTTGCTTACCAAAAAAAATCCAAACCTGTTGCCACTGAGCTGATTCCAACTCATAGTGACCCTATAGGACAGAGTAGAACTTCCCCATACGGTTTCCAAGGAGTGCCTGGTGGATTCAAACTGCTGACCTTTTGGTTGGCAGCAGAACTTTTAACCACTACTCCACCAGGGTTTATTATTTAATATCAGTCTGGTTCAATATTCCCAATTTATCTCAAAAATGTTACTTTGTGGTTTCTTTGTTTGAATCAGGATTTAAACTAGGTAATACCCATTCCATTTGGATGATAACTTTTTAAATCTTTTTTTAATCTACAGTGGTTTCCTTCTCCCTCTCTTTTTTTTTTTATGTCATTTCTTTATTGAAGAAACTGGTTTATTTGTCCCGTAGGATTTTCACTTTCTGGATCTGCCTGATTGTATCTCTGTGATGAAGGTAATATATTACCTGCAAACTGGTAGACAGTGTTAGATCTATAAGCAAAATTAAACTTAGGATATTTGTGTTTTAGATAGTGAGTTGTGGATTTCCTATTGTATAAAATCAAGAAGGACAAAATTCTGATTGTTCCATTTTTAGTGACATTCCTTTCTGGCTCTATTCAGGTGATGCCAGTCTGAGCAGTCCATTATTGAGTTTCCCATCAGCTTTATAGACAATGATTTTAATGATTATAGACCAGATCTATTATTTTATCAAGGATTGCAAAATGGGCGTTTTCTTAATACTAGCATTCTTCTGCATTTGTTATCCATAATTCTTCTATTAAAAAAAAACTGTCATCAAATTTGGGTTAATCTAAAATATGTCCATAAAGGAGAGGCAGAATAAATTCTTGATTGTTTCCCTTCATTTATCTATTTTCAGAATAATAGCTGGAGCCCCAGCAACTTGCTAAGGTAACCAATGAGATTTATGTGTTTATTTGTCTGGAAGAGATATTCTTATAAACTAACACATTTTAATATATTTGATGTGTTTCAATCAATTGCAGTAGTTAACCTTTAAAGCTCAAATTATTCCGCATTTGGCCAAGGGGATCCCTTTAAGTTAGTTCCTTTGTTGTTTTGGACCTCTTACACCAGTGATTACAGGAGCCCTGGTGGTGCAATGGTTTAGCACTTGGCTGCTAACCAGAAGGTTGGTGGTTCAAATCCACTGAGCAGTTCCACGGGAGAAAGACCTGGCAATCTGTTCCATTAAAGGTTATAGCCAAGAAAACTCTATGGAGCAGTTCTTCTCTGTCACATGGAGTCACTATGAGTTGGAATCGACTCAACAGCACCTAACACCACCACCACCATAGATTGGTTTTGCTTGTTTTTAAATTTATTATTATGGGAATCATGTAGTATGAAATACTATGGGTTGTTTCTATTTTTTATTTATTTATTTTTGGCTATTTCAAATAATGCTTCTATGTACATTACGGTAAATGTCTTCTTGTACACACGTGTGTACACTTTTGGGGGCATATATCTAGGAGTGAAAATTATATACCATAAAGTATGAATATGTTCAATTTTAGGAGATTGTGCTATGTATTTTTCCAAAATATTTGTACAAATTTATGCTCATAGCAGAGTTATATAAAAGTTCTACTTTTACCACATCCTTGAGTGTTTACCATTGTCCTTTGTCCCTGACAGGTCCTGAGTTCCAATTTTTGTCTCCCCCTCCCCCTGACTGTCTGCCAGTATGTTAAACTCTCTACCCACCTTCTTAGCTTCTCAGCTATCACTCTGAGTATCAGCAATTGCATTGAGTGGAAACACAGGCTTACTTCTTTAGTCTTCTTTCTCTTTTGGATCTTGGTCTCACAATTCCTTCCTGCCCTGCTGGATCACTGATATGTCCAGACTGATTATATCATTATATTTTATCCTGATTTTCTACTTTATACAGGAGGAGAGGTGATCTGAAACAATCTAGTTGGTCATTGCTATAAGCAGAAACTATTATATTTAAGATTTCTGCTGTGATGTTTTAAAACACAATTTGCTTGTAGATTTTTAATTTGTGTAAACCTTGGCAGGTTTGTTATCACTTTCTTAAGTGAACTTGAAAATATTTATCTTTTCTGTACACTCTAGAATAGTAGCATTGAAACTCTTATACTTAAAATTCTGATAGCATTTCCTTGTGCTATTTAGGCTTGGTGATTTATTTTTTTGGATAAAGCCTTTGACAGATTTCTCTATTGAAATAGGTGTTTTGATTTTTGCCTATATTTTGGTAAATTGTATTGTTTTATAAAATTATCCATTTCATCTAGGTTTTCAAATTTATTGGCCTACAATTGGACAAGGAAGACTCTCATAATGGTTTTAAAATTTCTTGTGTTTGGAAGGTTATTTCCCTCATCATTTTATTTTGTTTGGAGTTTTTGCTTTTAAAAGTTTAGGTTAGCTAATGATTTTTCTCTTTTGTAGATATTTTAAAAGAACTAGCTTATATTTTTTTATGAGATTTAAGTTTTTGCTGTTACCTAAATCACTGATTTCTGCTACTTTATTATTTTCTTCTACCTATCTATTTTCTTTTCTTGTTTTGTTCTTTCTCTAGCTTTTAAATTCAGAGTTCAATTGGTTTTTTAAATTTTCATTTTATATTGAGTATATGTATATACATATACACACATACAGTCTATACTCATTATTTTCAGATTCCATGTTTGCAAATTTACTTATTAGCTAAAATTTATTTATACCTCCAGTATCAATACTTGTTGTGTCTTTGTAGTCTTTCACGGATCTGAGCAGAGCAGTAAAAAATCTGAGTCACCCAACGCTCACATTCTCAGCTGAGGTTGAACAAGGCCACAGT